TCTAGAGTCTGAGGAGGACGTTGCAATCTCCTACCCATCATATCCCACACGTGCTCAATTGGGGCTAAGTCGGGAGATCTTGGTGGCCATGGTAACAATGTGACATCATTATGTTGAAAGAAGTCTATTGTGACTCTTGCAACATGTGGTCGGGCATTATCTTGTTGGAAAGTTGGATCCGCCAGGGTGTCAAGATAGGGTAAAAGATGGGATTCTAGACCTTCGTGGATATAACGCTGCGCGTTCATGTTACCTCTGATGAAGATTAAAGGTGACCTGGAACCATAAGCTATAGCACCCCAAACCATAACTCCAACAGTGTGATGAACATGTCTTTCAACAAAAAACTGTGGATTCCTCCTTTCACCACGTCGCCTTCTAACCCTGGCACGACCATCGTGCATGCCTAAACAAAATCGAGACTCGTCACTAAAGACAATACTGTTCCATTCCTGATCCCAGAGTGACCGTTGTCTGCACCACTCAAGGCGATTACGTCGGTGTTCTCGAGTTAAAGGGAGGACCCAGTGTGGCCGGTATGAAAACAAGCCAACACTTCTCATTCGTCGGTAAACACTTCGCATGCCAATAGGTCTTCCGTGTTCTGCAAACCATTCATTTGCAATGGACCTGGTAGTGGAGAAACGGTCCCTTAAGGCCAATAATCTTAGGCGGCGATCTTCACGGTCTGTTGTTCTACGGCGGCGTCCAGTGCCCCTTGCTCTTTGCGTACGGCCTTCTCGAAGCCATGCCTGACAACACCTAACCACAGTGTCTACACTTCTTTGCACTCTAACTGCAATTGCCCGAAAAGAAAGTCCAGCTTCCCGAAGTCCCACTATACGGCCCCTATCAAACTCACTAAGTTGACGAAATCGTACAGGTCTCCGTACTCTAGGCATCGTAACCGATCGTAAAGGATGTCAAGAACCAAAATCCGCCAACGTTGATTCTTTACTCTGGCTGAAATATTCATTTTTAGAGCGTTAGTGAATTAAAAAAAAGCAGTATAAAAACCGGAATGTCCAACTGATAAGGCTGAACATTTTTCACTTGTTATTAACATAAATACATTCACCAACTTTTATTAAAATAAAACCATTTAAACTGGATGTTCGGATTTATATGTCACTTAGTATATTTAGATGTCAATGGATGCTTCTCGATGTAGGCCGTCTTTGATGCACGGTGGCGTAACCCTGGTTGCCTAAACGTCGATATTGCGAGGGCGTCTCATCGTTACTCAAGGTCCCAGATATGAGGACGTTTCAATACGTCTAGTAAGTTTACGCACCCACTGGATATATTTCACACTTAGATTTACTCGTGTACGCGTATTTATAAAACTTAAAATGATAGATTTAATGTTTTTAGCACATACGACGCAGCGACGCAACGGAACAAAGGTATGGTGTATCTGAAGTCACTTGAAATAGCATAAAAACCTTTGGTCGGCGCGTCCTTTGTAATTTCATGACGTATCATAGGCGTGCGGCATTTATTTAGAACGATAATAACAATGTTTTTATATCACAATAAATGGATTTTACTATCTTCTTATTTTTTTGATTTGGGATAAAAAATACTTATATTGGGAGTTTAATTTATGTTGACTGAAAGTTAAGAAATGGAAAAATTACAGAATTCCAACGTTTGACATAGGCAAATATTTACATAGCAGGTAGGTATATAAAAAGGTATATAAAGACTTACATTATAGGTATTTATATATCATCCTCGCCTTCGGAGCTGTCGCTAGAGTCATCTTGTAGAGGAATTACAACGGGATTTACAGGAGGCAAAACACAATATTCATTTTCTTTTTCAATAATATGCCTAGAACACTGCTTCCATAGGTCTGTGGCAGCAATATGAGATACTGCATCTCTTATTGTGGCCAATAGCGATTCACTTAATTGAGGGGTCTGTCTATGTTTTCTTACTTTTTTTTAAGCAGCCCAGACCAACTCAATCGGGTTAAAAATGCAGTAATAGGGAGGTAGACGTAATACTTCATGGCCATTTTGCTGAAGCAGATTGTCAACAACATACTCTTTTTCAAATTTTTGTCTTTTAATAAGATCCAATAATATGGCTTTGGTTGATTTTTGTGGTATTTCCATTCCCTTATCCTTCATAAAATCAATAATGCCTTGTTTTTTTGTGCCTGTATTCGGAATTTTGTTTTTCTGTCTGGAATGGTATGGCGCATTGTCCATAATAATCACTGAATTTGGGGAAATGTTTGGTATTAACTGCTGCTCTATCCACTTTTCAAATAAGTCGGAGGTCATGTCCTCATGATAGTCGGCACATGATTCTTTGATATTTTTGGCAGATAACAGCAATATCTTCCTGAAAACCCACGTCTATTCTTTTTAATTTTTGCCCTATGCGCTTTCTGTGGAAGGAATGGTTGACTACATCTCCCCTTTTTATAACCCGATAAATGGTAGACCGACTGATTTTTGTCAGGATACAAATTCTGTTTAAAATTTGATTTTGCGAGGAATCTGGATTTTCGTTTTTCAGACAATCATACATATTTAGGATTACTCTTTGGGTCTGTTCCTCTAAATCTTTATGAAAGAATTCTGCCTGCACAGGTTCATCAACCATCTCCTCGTGGCTTGGAGCATTTTCCCAAGGTCTCCAAAGAGCCATATTTAGGACACACAAGAACAATCAACACAACAATTAAATCAACAAGTAAACTGAGTATTCAAAAGTCAAAAACACACAAACTAATAAAATCTATGAAAAAACACGGACAGACTAAAGAAAACACGTTTATTCACCGCTACACGGCACTGGCTAAACTGTTTCAATTTTCAGTAGCCACCTGCACTTGTTCCGAGCTCTGAAATACACGCTTTCTCATTGGCTATGTCCACACATAGGCGTGCTTTACTCCACGTGGACCGGTGAAACTTCCTTTGATCTCTTATATTTGCTGCGAAATTTGGCGATTTTTGCAGCAACAGAGCGTGTTAAATATAGATATATAAAACGCACCCGGTATTTCACAGTGTTTCAAGTGACTTCAGATAAAGTATACACCTGCATTGAGATCTGAACCAGGGTTGCCATACTGGAGGATTTTCCCCCAAATTAGAGAGATTTTTACGTCACTTGAGAAATTTTTCGGTGATAAAACGTTCTGGAGGATTTTTTTGGGGAAATAAAACCGTTGGTTAGGAAAATAGTCTCAATTCGTTGCCAAAATATATATTTTTTTATTTTATAGCCTCCCCCTGACCTTCCAACTAGTCCAACTTTTACCTTCAAATGAAATATGATTTGGGGAATTCATTCAGAAAGTTGCAAATCTGGTGTAATTTTGTTTGATCCATCTGGCAACGCTGATCTGACAGATGAGTGGCTCGCGAGTGACATAGTTAGTTATCACGAACGACACGTCATCATTAAGCCTCAAGTATAAGTAAGCAGGTAGTTCACCTGGAGACGATTGAAGGCGATGGAAGGATGAAACGGCAACGTTGCCAGATAGTGGGTACTATCGGTAGAGCAGGGGAAAATTTCTCGATCGCAACGTTGTCAAATGGGTGGGGACGATGAACTAACTGTATGGGCCTAATTAGCTTACTTGATTCATTCATTTTTTTGTTATACATGTTCTCGATGGGGCTGATTTGTGCTGAAAATAATCTTTTATGTACTGGGGAGTGCAAAATCACCCTACACAGTGCCATTTCCGGTGCGAACTTTAACTCCACATCGGAAAATGCGTTTTTACTTTCAGCAGAGAGAACCAAAGGTGCTTTTTTAAGATTTCCATTTATTTGGGATTTTCGGAAAACTTAATTTTTTACGTTTCTCGAATATAGCCATGCCCTTTGGTGGCACGCCAAAGGCACCTGAGACCTTCATATTTTTCTATACTCTACGGGAAATATTCCATTTGAAAAAATGTGAAAAGGATTGCAACGAAATCTTTACAAAAAATTACTAATATGACAAGGCCGAAAAACCTTGCTGGTTTTGAAAAATCGGTCCAATGACCAAGAAACAAAAAAATCCAGAACGTCGCCCAAACTTCATATTTGTGCATTTTCCAAATTTCTAATGATTTTCGGGCAAAGACAAAGTCTTGGGAGCGGCAAGTCCAGACTTTGTTTTTCGAAGGTTTTAACTTTAGGCACTGTTTCCATAAAATTAAATAACAATAAACCCGTTACGGCTCTGTACGTTTCAAAAATAAATACAAAAGAACAAGTGTGACATACAACAAAAGTTCGAGTACGTCAGTGGAATTTAGGGAAACATCACAAACGGCCACAGCCATGTGTTTATTTTAACTACACTGGTGAAAGGCCCCTTTACTACCGTATTTCTATTAATTCCAGCATTTATTCGATGTTCTATTGTTATATTGTACAGCCCACGCATCGTGTTCACTAGACTTTATTACTTCACGATACATGTAATTAATTGTCAAGCTATAATAAACCTCTAAATCTGACTAATGACTGCAAAATGATATTACAGAGAAACAAATATGTTCAAAAATAATTTTATAAACAAATTAAAAAGTCAGTTTTCTTATATGTTATATGTTAAATTAACTTCTAACCCCAGCAATCCTGCGTGCCCATTAGGCATGTTTTATATACAGGGTGGCGCATCGAAAACGAAACAGACGCATTTACTGACAGCTCAGTTTTTTTTTGGAAAAACGCCAGACCCGACGATTTTGTTTTGGATATATATTTGTCCTTAAGATTAATGACAGAAATATATATTTTTTTATATAGGGTGTCCCAGAATAGTTATTATATACATATTAAAAAAATCAAGTTTTGTGCTTTTCAAATTATAGGCTTTTCCAAAGCCAAAGTATTCTTCTTCCTAGTGTAGCTAACAACCCTGGATGTTCAGCTATGGTTTCCATAGCGGGTCATGTTGGAAATTTACAATTTTTACATTTACTGATCTACTAAATCGAATGATACGTTTCTCATAAACAATGATTTCATTTCCAGATATTGGACATGGACCATACGACTATACCGAGAGAGGCGTTCGAAATCTACCTGACAGGAGGCAGAGCGTTGACGTTCGGTTTGAAGACGTTCAATGCGGCATTGCCAGCTCTCAACTTGATCTACATCAACGGCACCGAAGAGGTGCGCATGGAGAAGAAGTCCTTTTATTATATCAACTCTTCTAGTCTGCACATTCAAATACAGAACTGTGATCAACTCAAGGTTATGTCTGGAGCTTTCGAATCCGCTTCGGTAAGTAACGTTCTTATATTTTGATAACAATAATATTGCTTCTGTTCATAGCTATGGACATATCGTTTCTAAAACGTGAAGCAAAAATGTTTCTTTGGATTGTACTGGGGCTTCCTATGAGAACTTAAGAAAAATCGTATCTTTTCTAATATAAACTATAGGGACAAAGGAGCGGTCGTATCGGTCAGTTCTGGATGCACGAAGTTCGACACCGTTAAGATGGGAGGCCGAAGTCAGGCGGATCTGTCTGGCGGGCACATCGCTCGGCAGCCTCATGGATGAGAGCTCTGAGGAGCAAAGCTCGTTGTGCGAAAAAGTCCCGAGGCTGTCAGAGAAGAGTCATCAATCAGTCTGACAGCCCTCTTCTGTACAGCATCGAGCATATACAGGGTGTCCCAGAAGTCGACGCCAAGCCGAAACCGGGTGATAGGCAAAGTCATAACAGCTATCAGAAAAATATTCAAAAAACTTTTATGTATGTGTTTTGAAAATTATAGGTCTTTGAAAAAAATATAGAAATTTCACACCCTACGGCAGTCTGTCAACTCCTGTTACTACAAATATTAACTTTTTTTGGATTTTATTTTTACAATGTAATGATGAATAATGCATCTTCAAACTGGTGTCTCAACCTTACTGCCAACTTTTCTCGTTCAGGAAAAATTGCCACTTATTTCCCAACCAAGCATTCCAAAGTAACACTTTGCTCAACTTTAACTGGCTGTACTGAAAAAAAATGTACTACGAGAGTTTGGCAAGTAACCTTAAAAGTCGGCGCATTTAATAAGGATTCCAAAATGGTATAACACTTAGAAGATTACTCGTTAACTTATGCACAATTTTTATTTGAAGAAAAACTGATGAAAATTTTTCAAAATTTCCTAATTAAACAGCGATTATGAAAACGCACAAGGACCCTTAAGGATAACTGTTTGCACAACAGTGGGCGTCAAAATGCTGCTGATGATGATTTACCTTAACAGCAAATGCTCAAACTGTTTTCCTTCAGCCGCAATACACGCTCGACATCTTCTTAAAAAAGATCGGGTTATTAAACGAGCGAATCCACGGTTATTAACAAACTCCGCTGCTTCCAATAGTCTTTGCCGTAGCTCAGCTACATTTTGAATCGGCTCGAAATACACTTTTTCTTTTACAGTTGCCCAGTAAAAAAAATCTAACGGATTCAAATCTGGTGACCGGGCTGGCCACGGTATTGTACCAGAAGGCCCTATCCATCTGCCTGGAAAGTTTTGATCGAGATACTCTCTCACTGAGAGTGCATAGTGCGCTGGGCAGCCATCATGCTGAAACCACATGTCCCTGTAAATACTCAATGGCACGTCCTCCAATAAATTTTCTAAATGATTTTGCAAAAAACCTAAATAAACCTCAGCAGTCAAAGTCTCTGGGAAGTCAAACGGACCGATTATTTTACCATTTAAAATTCCTGTCCAATGGTTTCTCTTGAAGCGATATTGAGATTTATCTTCTCTCATCAAATGTGGGTTTGCTACGTGCCACTCGTGTAAGTTATGCAGGTTCATGTACCCATCTTTCTTAAATGTGATCTCATCTGACCATAAAATTTTTTCAAAGAACCGTGGATCTTCCCTGTGTGTTTCTAACATTGTGCGACAAAAAGCAACTCGGGGCTCATAATCCCGGGGCAGACGAGCTTGAACACGCTGTACATGGTATGGATGGAGCACGTTTTTTTGCAAGATTCTATGGGCTGTACTTTTGGGCACACCTGTTTTTAGTTCTATTGCACGCACTAAAGTACTCGGGTCTTCTTCGACAACTCCTAGCACCACGTCTTCGTAAGGAAGGACAGATCTTCCCTCACCGTGTGATTGGTTTGGTAGTTGGCCCTCTGAGAACAGTAAGCGGTGCACATTTGTGAACACTCGATGATCTGGATGACGAGCTGCATTCGGGTACCTCTCACAGTAAAGTCTCTCTGCAGCACTAGCCTTGCATCTGCATTCCCCATAAATGAGGTGCATGTTAGCATATTCTTATACGGTGTACACGGACATAGCGGCACTGCACAATCACACTATCAAAGATAGTCTAAGGAAAGCGAATGTTGTTTTGAAGAGCAATTAAATTGTCCAAATCCAGATCACAAGCGATCAACAGTCCAGTTCACGAATCCAAAATTAGTAACAGTACGAAATCAACAAGCACGAACATGTAAAGATGCGCAGTAAACGAAGGAGTACTGATCGGTATCAAAGTGTGCAATAGCAAGTAAGTGATGTGCTTCATCCATACCACATACAGCGTGTTCAACCTCTCCTGCCCCGGGATTATGAGCCCCGAGTTGCTTTTTGTCGCACAATGTTAGAAAGACACAGGAAAGATCCACAGTTCTTTGAAAAATTTTATGGTCGGATGAAACCACATTTACGAAAGATGGGTACATGAACCTGCATAACTTATACTAGTGGCACGTAGCAAACCCACATTTGATGAGAGAAGATAAATCTCAATATCGCTTCAAGATAAACCATTGGACAGGAACTTTAAATGGTAAAATAATCGGTCCGTTTGAGTTCCCAGAGACTTTGACTGCTGAAGTTTATTTGGATTTTTTGAAAAATCATGTACAAAATTTATTGGTGGACGTGCTACTGAGTATTTACAGGGACATGTGGTTTCAGCATGATGGCTGCCCAGCGCACTATGCACTCTCAGTGAGAGAGTATCTCGATCAAAACTTTCCAGGCAGATGGATAAGGCGGTCTGGTACAATACCGTGGCCAGCCCGATCACCTGATTTGAATCCTTTAGATTTTTTTACTGGGGAACTGTAAAAGAAAAAGTGTATTTCAAGCCGATTCAAAATTTAGCTGAGCTATGGCAAAGACTATTGGAAGCAGCTGAGTTTGTTAATAACCGTGGATTCGCTCGTTTAATAACCCGATCTTTTTTAAGAAGATGTCGAGCGTGTATTGTGGCTGAAGGAAAACAGTTTAAGCATTTGCTGTAAAGGTAAATCATCATCAGCAGCATTTTGACGCCCACTATTGTGCAAACAGTTATCCTTAAGGGTCCTTGTGCGTTTTCATAATCGCTGTTTAATTAGGAAATTTTGAAAAATTTTCATCAGTTTTTTTTTCAAATAAAAATTATGCATAAGTTAACGAGTAATCTTCTAAGTGTTATACCATTTTGGAATCGTTATTAAATGCGCCAACTTTTAAGGTTACTTGCCAAACTCTCGTAGTACATTTTTTTCCAGTACAGCCAGTTAAAGTTGAGCAAAGTATTACTTTGGAATACTTGGTTGGGAAATAAGTGGCAATTTTTCCTGAACGAGAAAAGTTGGCAGTAAGGTTGAGACACCAGTTTGAAGATGCATTATTCATCATTTCATTGTAAAAATATAATCCAAAAAAAGTTAATATTTGTAGTAACAGGAGTTGACAGACGGCCGTAGGGTGTGAAGAAATTTCTATATCTTTTTCAAAGACCTATAATTTTCAAAACACATACATAAAATTTTTTTAAATATTTTTCTGATAGCTGTTATGACTTTGCCTATCACCCGGTTTCGGCTTGACGTCGACTTCTGGGAGACCCTGTATAATGTAGTCGGTGCGGCAGCACCCCAAACGAGTGAGCAATATTCGAGGCTAGGTCTTATCTGTGTCTTGTATAGAGTGAGGAAGTCATGCGGAGAAAAGTACTTCTTAGTGTTCGTGTCAGATCAAGACGAAGTTCAAGACTCCAAAAAGTTCTTCTAACCAGAACAAAACTATCGGTCACTCCACAGTCTGACCAAGTAATTAGTTACTACTAGATCTAACTGCACGTCAGACTGACTGCAACATGATACAACAATTAATGTTTGTTTTTATTTTTCAGAGTTCCATATCGACCGAAATAGTTAATATTAGTTACGTGACAATAGAAGGATGTGCCTTCAGCAAACTGTACAACAGCACATTCAAGAATGTTAGGGTACTGTACCTCTACGAACGATCGTTTGATTTCAAAAATCAAGGAACGTATGGCAGACACGGACCAATTACCTTAGTAAGTATAAGCATTTATTAACGTAGTTTATAACCAGTGGCATACCTGTAAGCCAAAGTAGATGTTCTTAATACTTATCAACAACGATCTTTTAGGGTTTTCCCTCCCACGCACAAGCAAGAGAAAATATTGTGATCTCGCAGTTTCCAAATGGACACCGTCTATGTTTCACCTACAGAAATGGACAAAAGTATATAGACAAATATGAATATTTACCTAAATACCTTTAGAAAACGAATTCATATTTCATTGCTCCATAAACAAATGCGTTATTAGTAGAAAAACTAAATTACTGGTCTGTTATGATTTGGGGGTGCTTTTCGGGGTTTGGGATGGGACCTTTACACAGAATAGATGGCATTATGGATAAGTTTGTTTACACAGACATACTAAAGCATGTCATGTTACACTATATGGAAGACAATATGCCCTTAAGATCAATCTTCCAGCAAGATTCTGGATGAAAAAATACCAGTTCTCAAATGGCCTTCACAGTCTCCCGATATAAACCCCATTGAAAATCTATGGGAATACTTAGATAAGCAAATACGAGATAAAAATCATTCAAACAAGGATGAACTTTTGGCCGCTTTAGAGCAAAAGTGGAGACAGATTGATGAATCTTAAATCAAGAAACTTCTACAATCTATGCCGAGACGATGACAGGCGGTGATTGATAATAATGGTTATGCTACAAAATATTAACACAAACATGGTTGGTTTTCTATAATTCAATGAACTTTGCTTCTTTTTTCTATAATTGTTTTGCTTTGTCTTTATATTTTTGTCCTTCATAGTTCCAGTTTTTTCAATTAATTTTTTATTGAAGGGTGTCTAATGAATTTATTTATGTATAAGTATTATGCTATAAGGAATTATGTATACAGGTTGATGTATTAATAAAACAAGTTAAAAAAGAAATACAGCACAATATTAATGTGTCTATATACTTTTGTCCATTACTGTACATACACCAATATTGATGGAATTGTTCTCAAACTACCTTTATGGAAGTTTTGCAACTTTTTGATAATAAATAGCAACATTTCGGAGGTCTAATCTTTAAGCTTGTGCTCACATTAGACTTAGGGCATAGTAAAAGATTTAGGATTCTCGAAGAGCATTTGTTCGTCTAGAGTTTTCAATCTGCACTACAGTATATTCAGATAAGAGATAGACCGGACATAAACAAGACCACGTGATCATCGAACGCTGTAACATTCGGCAGGGACGTATTAAGAGTCACGCAGTACATATTTTAGAGAGTAGATGCTGCTTTGCGTAACTTTGTAGTAAATTAGCACAATTCGATGTGTATACGATTGGTGATGGATATAGGATCATGTGGGGGTGGGGTAAGAAATATATAATGATGTAAATTTCAAAATTTTCGCTTCGATTTCCAGCTTCGGATGCCGCCTGATGTTTGGTGAAATACAGTCGAATATAATCTCAAAATGGCGTTTAAATTAGCCTAAATTAAAAATAATCGTATATCTCTTAAAATTGCTTTTAGAATATTGATTAGTATATTTTTTGATTTCTAGGTAAATATGTAACCAAATTAAAACGTTCAAAACGTAAAAAAATGTGCATGGTTGAACATTGTCAGAAAGTAGATTCTTGACTAGGTTTTGCCAAAATGGGTTCAAAAATGTCAATAATTAATTAAAAAATACAGTAGCTTTATAATTACTTATAACTTACCGAATTTGATGAACGACATCTTTTATTGGAAAGATGAGCTTGATGAGCTTTCATCATCGCTACTGCCTGAAGCACCAACGTCAATAATGAATGGCTCGACTTGTTCCTCTAAAATATTGTCCAGTTCCCACATTCTCTTTTCAACTTTGTCTTTCACGTGCTTAATACAGTTTTCCCATTTTTGCGCTGTTATTAATTCTAGTGCTTCTTTGAAAAGTCTTGTGAGGTCACAAAATTTAAAAGTTGTATTGTGCTTAGCTATATAATTTTTAACCTCTGCCCATATGAGCTCAATGGGATTGAGCTCGCAATGGTATGGAGGTAAACGGAGCACAGTTTTATTTTGACTTGCTGCCATTTCGTCACTGGCGTATTTTTGATATTCCGCCTTGTGATCCTTGACAATTCTTAATAATTGTACTTTCAGCATTGCTTCTTCAAAGTTGATATTTTTCGAGCGGGGCCAATTTTGAACATCAACTTTCCTTGAAGCCGTTGTTGGGACCTTCTCCATTCTTCGAGAATGATAAGGCGCATCCAACACAATTACTGCGTTTTCCTCTAAGTTCGGTAAAATTTTTGAAAACCACTGTTCAAACGATTCGCCATTCATTTCCTCGTGGTAATCTCCAGTTTTCTTAGACTCAAAGCACCACAGACCGTCAACAACAAATCCATCCTCACTGCCAATATGGCAGATAATGAGCCTTTTCCCTTTACCTGGAAATCGAAGTACTAACTGGTGTAGATTTATTTCAATAAGCGAACCTTTTTCAAATGTTTTCATCACATTCAGCGAAAAAACATTGAGACGTGAGTATCAGATTGCTATAATTGGGATTATTTAGTCATATTGAAAGAAAGAATATTGAACGTCGTATGATTACTCAGCGCTTCACAACTTAATTTAAAGTTATAAACATTTAAAAAATGAATGATCAAGAACCTGAAATACGCGCAAATATAAATATTAACAAATTATAACTTTATAAAGCTTAAAGTATGAATTAAAATGATTAGAAATATTAGGAACGGTACACAATATAAAACTTAGTAACTTTTTTTAAGTTTATAATATTCGACATATTTTAAGATTATATTAAAAAAAATATTGAAATATCGAAAACACATAAAAACATGGCTTAAAAAAGTTCTAACAAATGAAAAGGACAATAAAACATCCACGCATTTTATCGAAAGTTATAAAAGTTTTGTTACTTGTAATATGTTTTATCTGCCCCCTGGAATTAATGTTTAGAACCTTGTTCCCAAGGTTTGAAAAACATCCGATTGTTGTCTATTACTCGTATTTACCTGCTGGATTTTTTAATCCGGTGGACAGTCCATCTAGAAAGGCCCTCCTGGATGAAGTTACAGAATCATCAACCCATACTTTACTTGTAGTGTGTCCTGAGTTTACCCACGTTTCATCAAGGTAATAAATCTTCCTGTTTTGATTTCTATATTTCCCAATTTTTGTTAAATAATCCCTCCTCCATAGCACAATTTCTTCTCTATCCAGTAGTAAACTATTACGACCCCGTTTTTTCCATTTGAAATTTAAATGCTTCAGTAACGCATGGAAAGTTGATCGTTTGAAATTAGGCAACGTTGTATCTCCATTTACCTCCTGCAGTACTTTATCTATAGTAGGTATTTCATTCCTAAAGAAGAATTCGTGCACTTTCCTCCTAATCGCATGCTTATCAGCTTCATCCAATGATTTAACAATACTTTTGCGATGTTTACTGGTCATTGGCTCAGAAAAGGTGTGGTTTTTTTTGTATTGTCTTAACACATTAAACACTGATGCGCGACACACCCCAACTTTGTGAGAAACCTTCACAACAATTTCTTTGATGGTTGATGCCTCGTTCTCCTCGCGCTCGATCTTATATATATTCAAAATGACCTCTTTCATTTCTGCACTCAGGTGTCTTTTTTTAGAGCGTTTCCTAGGTGGACTACAGGAGTTTACAACTTCATCGTCAGTATCTGTACTACTGGGCATTTTGCGCAAGCAGTTGATAACAATAACAATCAATAACAAGGTACAACAATAACAACGACAAACTCAACAACTTAATAAGATAACAAACGAAAACGTCCAAAGAAATATCAAATTGCAATGATGCACACGACATACGTAACACGTCTGAACCTGAATGTGACTCTGCCTTGATACGACTGCTCTGCCGCTCGGCATAGGCATTTAATTGCGAATTGACCAATGAGGGCTCCTGTTTTACGTCGAGACGGCGGCGTTAGCGTGAAAATCACCCGAACCTTTTGTTTATATCCGGTCTATCTCTTATCTGAATATACTGTAGGCTTGTTTCTTGTCACTAATTATTTAGCAATCATTCTGGGTCCTTGGGAGTGAATAGTATTTTTTAGAAACCTCGTGATCTGAGCAATGACTCATTTAATATAATGATTACAATGCAGTATAACGTTTTGCTTTCAACCGCGACACCGATACAACATGCTATACCTACGCATAATTATTATTTTCAATTAAACCGCGAGTTATTTAGATTAGTTAAAAGCAGACATTAACAATAACATTGATTTACATATGAAGGGGGCGACGTGAAATTGAACGAGGTCGTCACTAAAAAAGTACTTAGAGAAAATAAAGCTTCACATTATACTTAGGGTTTCAGGCCGATGTCATTGGTAAAAGTAATGAGTCAGTATGAAGGTCTTCTTAATTATCGATAGAAAAATGACTATTTCCTATTTTATTTTGAAACTAATTGTATCTTGGCTCTTCATGAATGATCTAATTTGTTTTATTTTTATTTTTACGAAAACAGTGCACTCTAGGAAAATACACAAAATAACATAAAATTCGAAAAATTGCGCGTTTCGAAAAAAAAAACTGTCGTACTATTTTTATTTGAAAAAATAATGCCACTGTATCTCCGACACTAGTGCACGTTAATTTTAAGTGACGACTTTTGAATGTGGACAATACTTAGGTAAATCCACATACCAAATCTTAGTTCATTCCAGTTGACGGTTTTGAAGATATTAAAAAATTTATTTTTTATTTTGTAACATATTAATAATATTAATAATCAGGAAGATGTCTTACTTGTGGATTAGAAGGACATTCAATAGAAAACTGTAGTACCAGTGAAATGTACAAATGCTGTCCAAATTGTAAAAGTGCAAACCAGGATTTTAATCTAGGATTACATATTAATCATGGACCATTTGACAAAAATTGTGAAGTATATAAAAGGAAAATTGAACGTGAGAGGGAAAAAATTAGTTATGCAAATGAATAGCAACTACTAAGCTCAGATTTGCAAGACGTGGCTAAATCTGTAAGTGATGAATATACCATTTAAACATACAAGGAGTCCTGAATAATATAGATGAAGTTCAACAGTTTTTAAGATGAAGAAAACCACTTGTATTATGTCTTACCGAAACACATGCTACAGAAGACATCACTGATGGTGAATTACAAATTACTAATTACAAAACCTACAGATGCAACTCCAACTCCAGACATACTGGAGGTGTAGGGATTTATGTTTACCACAAAATACAGATCACATTATTCAATTGTACCACTTTAGACTATGCATACTGGTATGCACATATACAGTTCAAATTATTTGGGAAACGTTATGATCTTTGTACTTTTTACCATTCACCAAACAGTGATGCGGATATATTTTTAACGTTTTTTGAAGAAAAATGCGAAGAAATGTGGAATTTTAGAAACAATATAATACTTGTAGGTGATTTTAATTTAAATTATTATGGTAAAAGCATGAAAACAAGAAAATTGAAAGAAACCAGAAACAACTATGGGTTCAAGCAAAAAATTGAAGAGAGTACCAGAATAACATCATTATCAGAGACTTTGTTAGATCTTGTTATTGTAAATTTCGAATGTGCAGGGATTAAAGCTGTACATACACCTAAAGTTAGCGATCACAGTTGGACAATGCTGCCCTTGGTAGGGCATTTTTCTGATGCAAAAATTAAGAAAATCGTAAATACTATTAAGCACGAAAAACTTGAACGAGAACTTGCTGGCTGCTATTAGGAATTTTGGTGAGAATATGGAAAAAATATATGACAACATAATAGGAAATATAAAAACTTGTTTAGATCTTGCAACTGATAAAAAAGTGATTTGCTCGACAAAAAATACACCCTGGTATAACAAGAATATTAAGGCAGCTCAAAATTTGAGAGACAAACAATACAATAAATGTATATTCACAAAATCAAATGATGATTGGGAGGTATATAAAACTCTTAGGAATAAATGTGTATATGTAATTAGAGAGAAGAAAAAAGGAAATTCTACGATAAACAAATCGATAATAACAAGTGCGACAGTGTAAAGATGTGGAAGACTTTAAAAAGACTGATCAATTCGAAGCCGCATGATTGTGTAAATCAAGTTCAATTCGAAAACGGTACCGAAAAAAATTCTTTGGTGATTGCAAACAAACTAAATGAATATTTTGTGGAAAGTATTGTTGATATTGTGGGTACTGCCAATGCTGCACCTGACTATATGAAAATCAGTTTCCAGGGAGAAATGTTGCATACACTTTCAAAATTTCACAGCGTATCATTGAATTATCTAAGAAAAAAAGTAAACAGTTTAAAATCAAATAACAACTGTGCCGAAATGACTACTAAAAACGTGTTGAAAAACTGTTTCGAAATTTTGGGATATCCTGTATTGAATTGGATCAATTGTTCACTGAGAAGCAGTTCTTTCCCTGAAAATTTGAAATGTTCTACAATAACACCAGTTCCGAAAATAAAAAATTCCAGTAGATGCAGCGATATGAGACCAGTAAATGTGTTACCAGACATTGAAAAATTATTAGAGTCCATAGTGCATGACCAATTAATGCAGTTTATAGAAGAAAACAAAATTTTAGTGGAGGCGCAAGCAGGCTTTCGAAAAAAATATTCTACAGAAACAGCTTTCCAGTTGGTAACTGAGAATTGGAGAAGAGCCATAGACTCAGAAGAATTTGTCATAGCAGTATTTTTGGATTTGAAGAGGGCATTTGAAATGATTGATAGAGATATTTTGTTAGGTAAATTGAAGGCATATGGTATAACAGGAAGTGTTTTAGATTGGTTTAGAAATTATTTGTCTAAAAGGATGCAAGTTACAAAATTTAATGACACTATTTCATCAAAAATTGAAAATACGTTGGGTGTTCCACAGGGCAGTATCCTGGGACCACTTCTTTTTATTTTATACATAAATGATTTACCTGCCATAGTCCAAAAATGCAAAATTCAGATTTTCGCCGATGACACTATGATTTATATAAGTACTAAAAATATTCAGTCTGGTATCTCTTATATAAATGAAGACTTGAGGCTTGTCTCAAAATGATTAGCTTCTAACAGACTAAAATTAAATGCAAGTAAAACGAAAGCCTTGTTAATCGGAAAAAAACAATGTACAAATGTTCAACTGAATATTGATGGTAAAGATATTGAATTCGTAGAAAATTTTAAATACCTGGGGGTTTTTGTTGACTATCGATTAATTTTTGATATTCATTATGAAAAAGTTATAAATAAGGTTAGTAGTAAAGTGGGATATTTATCGAGAGTTTCCGGATGTCTGAGTTCATATAGCAGAAAAATTATCTATAATACCATCATTCTTCCAAATTTCTTGTACTGTTCGACTATTCTATATTTAGCAAATAATTCCATTTTTGAAAGACTGCAAATTTTACAAAATAAGTGCATGAGAATAATACTAAATAAAGATAAATATACTCCAATTAGGCAAATGCTTAGCAAATTAAAATGGCTCAATGTAAAAAATTTTATCAAATATCTTGTAATGATATTCATTTATAAAGTAAAAAATAATATATTTCCATCAAGTCTAACTAATTTAACATCATCAAATGTCGACCATCATTTACATAATACCAGAAATAAAGATGACTTCCATTTAATGACCAAAAAGTATAACATATGCTACAAATCTGTATTCCATCAAGGGTTGAATGAATATAATAAATTATACTCGGAGATAAAAGTCCAGAAAACTATGACAAAATTTAAAGTAAAATTGAGAAATCACTTGTTAAATCTACAATTATAGGTTGGCCAGCATTTACATCATACACCATATGGCTTGAATTTACTAGTTCTAAGTTGTTTACAATTGTTCTGTTTATGTAGCCAAATGTGCTAAATAAATCTTTCTTCTACTACTACTACTATTTTCCAGATTTCATTCGTAAACGTCAACATCCCGACCATCCCCCACGAAACGTTCCACACATCTTTAGGAGGGCTGACTTTCGATAACTGCCGCATCAACAGCATCTACCCTGAGGCGTTCAAAGCTACTCAAATCTCGTTCGTGCTTTTCTCAAACAGCCATATTGAAGAGGTGCAAGAGAGGGCCTTCACCGACAATACTCTCGTACTGGACTTCCGGATAATCAAGTGTAACATCACCAGACTCCATTCAAAAGCTATAATCGCTGCGGTACAGAATTTTGCTGTGAACTACTCTGTGTAAGTATAACGATAGTACTTTGAGGTACTGTAGCACACACCACTACTATTCCATTTTGAATTGAGGTCCCTGAAGGATAATACAGCAGACGCTCGATAAATGTAAACTAATTTAATCCAAGTGTGGTTCACATTATCGAAATGTTTACATTAGCGAACGTGATTTATATAATATTTGATTTATTAAAAGAAACGTTTAATACATACTATTTATGACAAAATAAACAAATATTCTAACAGCGATAAGTATTTTTTTAAGTAGAAAAAAATAATTAACAATTTTTGTCTGCGTAAATTTGCGCTTAGCATTGTCTTCCAATGCCTGCGCCTGTAATTTACGAAGAACTAAAATATCCGTGTATGAAACTTCTTTTCTTTCAGCCCAATCTAAAGCTTGGTTAAAAACTTGTATAGCTTGCGCGTCAGTCACTACAATGGGATCGTTCTCATCATCCTCACTGTCCATATCCTCCTCCTTATAAGCATCATTCGTCTGCTTATCTTCGTTCCATAAATTAATATCAGCAGGAGTACAAACAATGTTGGGATTCACTGTTTTCAATAAGTCAACAACATCCAATGACACACTAATAACATTATCATTATTGGATCGCAAACGTTCTCTAATTACGCTAAAGGGGACATCGTCTTCTTCAACATCTTCATTATTGGTACAAAAGAGATTGTTCCAACATTTTTGAATAGTTTGCTGGTTAAGTTCATTCCAGGCCATATGTAAATCTAAAACAGCTTCTCGTAATGTTACTTTACTTTTTTTAAAGCCTCAGATAAGTCTTCAGGATTCTTTGATAAGACAGACGAAAGTAGAAACTTCCTATAGTATATACGTAGGTTGGTGAGTCTTATTAAATTCTGGTCCATCGGTTGAATTAACGGTGTTACGTTGGGCGGCATGTACATGACGAAAATTGACCCATCCCTGCTCCTCAGTTGTTGCTCGGGAGGATGACTTGGTACATTATCCAATAGTAACAATGCTTTTATTGTAAGCTTCTGTTGTTTTAGGAAACCTTTTACCTACAAATTGAAAACGCATCTTCAAATTATGAATAGAGCATTTGTGATAATTGATTGTCATACCTGAGGGACAAAGCACCTGTGGAACCATTTCAGGAATATACTGCTAGTCATCCAAGCGGTTTTTGAACAGTCATAATCAACAGGGATATTAACATTTTTAAATACATACTATTTATAACAAAATAAACAAATATTCTAACAGCGATAAGTATTTTTTTAATTAGAAAAAAAATAATTAACAATTTTTGTCTGCGTAAATTTGCGCTTAGCATTGTCTTCCAATGCCTGCGCCCGTAATTTACGAAGAACTAAAATATCCGTGTATGAAACTTCTTTTCTTTCAGCCCAATCTAAAGCTTGGTTAAAAACTTGTATAGCTTCTGACCTCAATGGGATCGTTCTCATCATCCTCACTGTCCATATCCTCCTCCTTATCAGCATCATTCGTCTGCTTATCTTCGTTCCATAAATTAATATCAGCAGGAGTACAAACAATGTTGGGATTCACTGTTTTCAATAAGTCAACAACATCCAATGACACACTAATAACATTATCATTATTGGATCGCAAACGTTCTCTAATTACGCTAAAGGGGACATCGTCTTCTTCAACATCTTCATTATTGGTACAAAAGAGATTGTTCCAACATTTTTGAATAGTTTGCTGGTTAAGTTCATTCCAGGCCATATGTAAATCTAAAACAGCTTCTCGTAATATTACTTTTTTAAAGCCTCAGATAAGTTTTCAGGATTCTTTGATAAGACAGACGAAAGTAGAAACTTCCTATAGTATAGTTTGGTGAGTCTTATTATATTCTGGTCCATCGGTTGAATTAACGGTGTTACGTTGGGCGGCATGTACATGACGAAAATTGACCCATCCCTGCTCCTCAGTTGTTGCTCGGGAGGATGACTTGGTGCATTATCCAATAGTAACAACGCTTTTATTGGAAGCTTCTGTTGTTTTAGGAAACATTTTACCTACAAATTGAAAACACATCTTCAAATTATGAATAGAGCATTTGTGATAATTGATTGTCATACCTGAGGGACAAAGCACCTGTGGAACCATTTCAGGAATATACTGCTAGTCATCCAAGCGATTTTTGAACAGTCATAATCAACAGGGATATTAACATTTTTAAATACATACTATTTATAACAAAATAAACAAATATTCTAACAGCGATAAGTATTTTTTTAATTAGAAAAAAAATAATTAACAATTTTTGTCTGCTTAAATTTGCGCTTAGCATTGTCTTCCAATGCCTGCGCCCGTAATTTACGAAGAACTAAAATATCCGTGTATGAAACTTCTTTTCTTTCAGCCCAATCTAAAGCTTGGTTAAAAACTTGTATAGCTTGCGCGTCAGTCACTACACTTCTGACTTCAATGGGATCGTTCTCATCATCCTCACTGTCCATATCCTCCTACTTATCAGCATCATTCGTCTGCTTATCTCCGTTCCATAAATTAATATCAGCAGGAGTACAATGTTGGGATTCACTGTTTTCAATAAATCAACAACATCCAATGACACACTAATAATATTATCATTATTGGATCGCAAACGTTCTCTAATTACGCTTAAGGGGACATCGTCTTCTTCATCATCTTCATTATTGGTACAAAAGAGGTTGTTCCAACATTTTTGAATAGTTTGCTGGTTAAGTTCATTCCAGGCCATATGTAAATCTAAAACAGCTTCTCGTAATGTTACTTTTTTTAAAGCCTCACATAAGTTTTCAGGATTCTTTGATAAGACAGACAAAAGTAGAAACTTCCTATAGTATAGTTTGGTGAGTCTTATTAAATTCTGGTCCATCGGTTGAATTAACGGTGTTACGTTGAGCGGCATGTACATGACGAAAATTGACCCATCCCTGCTCCTCAGTTGTTGCTCGGGAGGATGACTTGGTGCATTATCCAATAGTAACAACGCTTTTATTGGAAGCTTCTGTTGTTTTAGGAAACCTTTTACCTACAAATTGAAAACACATCTTCAAATTATGAATAGAGCATTTGTGATAATTGATTGTCATACCTGAGGGACACAGCACCTGTGGAACCACTTCAGGAATATACTGCTAGTCATCCAAGCGGTTTTTGAACAGTCATAATCAAAAGGGATATTAACATTTTTAAATGAGCGCGGATTTTTTGCTTTCCCAATTACCCGTGGCTTTATTTTGTGTGAACCATTAGCATTAGTGCAGGCTAGAAACGTTATTCGTTGTTTCTCCGGCTTTCTTCCCGGGGCAGATTTTTCAAATGATGCGGCATAGGTTTTCTCTGGTAACATTTTCCAATAAAGGCCACTTTCATCTGCGTTGTAAATTTGTTCCATTCCACTAATTGTGGTTGTGCTGATAATTTTTCACCAGATATAGACAGCAGTCGAATTCCATATCTTGTTTTGAATCGTTGTAGCCAGACATCACTAGCTACGAAATTTTCAGTTTCTTTCAGTTTTTCATTTAACAGTCTCGCTCTCTGTTTAAGTACTTCGCCACTAACTGGAACATGATTTTCCCGTTGTTTTAAAAACCACTTATACAGGGAATTTTCCATTTTAGGTGCCTTCGCATTTTTTTCCCTGGACCTCCAAATGTATTGCACGTTCTTTGTAAAATTTGAGTTTTCATACGCTTAATTTTACAGATTGTTGCTTTCGATACTCCATATTTTTTTGCTAACTGTGTCACTCCCGCGCCTAGTGCAACTTCGTCTATGATTTTCACTTTCTCACTCAACTTTAAACACTTTCTTTTATAGGATGTGGATGCCATAGTCGTAAAATATATTAACGCGTGCAATGTATTCACTTAAGTTCAAAAATGAAATACATACGTACGTATAAACGTATCCTAAACGATCGTACGACTGACCGAGTTTGTTGTATTTTATCGCAGAGGTGAATCCCCTACATTCTACATCATAAATCGGGGACTCCCCGACGCCCGACATAAATCATCGAGGCTTCAGCATTTTACCGTCGCGCTGTTTCCGTGCGCCGAGAGTTGTTTACGTTATCGAGCGTACACATTGTTTACGTTATCGCGCGTTCCGTTTGATCCTATAGAACGAAGTTTGTGTTTACATTAGCGCAAGTTTTCATTATCCCGTGTTTACGTTATCGAGCGTCTGCTGTATTGTGATTTTAGTGTTAGAGCTTATGATTGACATAAACGTAGCCGGAACGTCAGCAACAGTATAGTCGTAGACCTTTTTGTATCATTTTCAGGTGATAAAATACTAACGTTCTTATTTTTGTCAACAGCATCACAGAAATCCAACCGAACGCCGTCAACCCAAAAGCGACAGCTCGAGCGGAAATAATAGGCAACCAGATAGTCGACTTGAAGCAGACAGGCTTCGTCTTCACCAACTGGAATCGCATAACGTTCGACGACAACATCGTCAAACAGCTGGAGTCGAAATTCGTCGACCTTTCTGTAGACGAGGAATCCAAGTCGCTGATCGAACTATTTTCTTTTAAAGGAAACGAAATCTACAACTTAGACGATGGAGCTTTAAACTTCCTAAATCAAGTTGAAGAAAAATCGTTAGTCTTCGAAGACAACTTCTTCAACATTTCTTGTGACTGTAACATAGAGCAATGGGTCGAGCAGATCACTAACGAGAGCGCCAAAGTGAAACTAGTAATCGATACTAGTTTCTGCACCGTCAACGAATTTTTATCTGTCTGTTTTTCGCTTCCGGTAGGTATCATTAACATAAAAAACTTCACAGAAAAGACATGCATCAATTTTACGGTATGCGAACCATATGAAGGCGAAACTCGAACTGTAGACACCACAAGTAGAATATTCATACAAGAAGACGAATCGGTTAAACAAAATTGGCTAATTTTTATAATAACTATCGTGGGCTTATTCATAGTTGCTATCGTTGCTACTTTTATAGTCCTTCTGATCCGAGGAAGTAGATGGTTGAAAGAGAAAGGCTACTTCAGAAACAATATGCATCAGTACAACAACAACGATCTCAGTAACGAGGAGGAAGGAACTATAGTAACTGTGGATGAAAATGAAGGTGAAAAATTAGAAATTCCGGAGGAACTAACGCTGGAGTTCCTCCAGATGTTAGCCCAGAGACTTGACGATCCAAATACAAACCAAGAGGCCTCAGAGATGATAGAACGACTTTACGAAATGTTCATAGTAGACGAAAGTTACGATAACAACAGGCAAGAGGAAGAAGCTCATTTATACGAAGAGTTGGGAAATTTGAATTTGCAGATTCCTCCACCACCTTATGAGGAACCAGACGAAACCCATAATGGGCCTAGAAGCATACTGAAACTTATGGAGGATAAGTTCAATCAACAGATGGATCCAAACAGTTCAAAAACAGCTTTAGTGAGTGACTATTCTGAGCCTACTGACGCTGCGGTTCATCTCTATTCAGAATTGAAGAACAAAAGTGAAAAGATGGAAAACGGAGGAGTGATCCCCAATGATAAGGTGAAAACGTCAACAGAGAAAAGCGTTTCTATTTTTGATATGCCTGGGCCATCAAATAAGCTGTGAACTATGAAACAGATGACACTTGAAATATGTAAAGCAATTATTGAATTTTTTAAACTGATCCAGGTAATTTTGAAATAATCAATAATTTAAAAATCTGAAGAAATAACTCCGCTAGTTTGACGATCCAACTAAAAACCAAGAGGCCTCAGAGATGATAGAACGACTTTACGAAATGTTCATACAGAAATAACTCAGCTAGTTTGACGATCCAAATAAAAACCAAGAGGCCTCAGAGATTATAGAACGACTTTATGAAATGTTCATAAAGAAATAACTCAGCTAGTTTGACGATCCAAATAAAAACCAAGAGGCCTCAGAGATGATAGAACGACTTTACGAAACGTTCATAAAGAAATAAATCAGCTAGTTTGACGATCCGAATAAAAACCAAGAAGCCTCAGAGATGATAGAAAGACTTTGCGAAGTGTTCATAAAGAAATAACTCGGCTAGTTTGACGATCCAAATAAAAACCTATAGGCCTCAGAGCTGATAGAACGACTTTACGAAATGTTCATAAAGAAATAACTCAGCTAGTTTGTCGATCTAAATACAAACCAAGAGGCCTCAGAGATGATAGAACGACTTTACGAAATGTTCATAAAGAAATAACTCAGCTAGTTTGACGATCTAAATAAAAACCAAGAGGCCTCAGAGATGATAGAACGACTTTACGAAAAGTTCATAAAGAAATAACTCAGCTAGTTTGACGATCCAAATAAAAACCAAGAGGCCTCAGAGATGATAGAACGACTTTACGAAATGTTCATAAAGAAATAACTCAGCTAGTTTGACGATTCAAATAAAAACCAAGAGGCCTCACAGATGATAGACCGACTTTACGAAATGTTCATAAAGAAATAACTCATCTAGTTTGACGATCCAAATAAAAACCAAGATCCCTCAGAGATGATAGAATGACTTTACGAAATGTTCATAAAGAAATAACTCAGCTAGTTTGACGATCCAAATAAAAACCAAGAGGCCTCAGAGATGATAGAACGACTTTACGAAATGTTCATAAAGAAATAACTCAGCTAGCTTGACGATCAAAATAAAAACCAAGAGGCCTCAGAGATGATAGAACGATTTTACGAAATGTTCATAAAGAAATAACTCAGCTAGTTTGACGATCCAAATACAAACCAAGAGGCCTCGGAGGTGATAGAACGACTTTACGAAATGTTCATAAAGAAATAACTCAGCTAGTTTGACGATCCAAATAAAAACTAAGAGGCCTCAGAGATGATAGAACGACTTTACGAAATGTTCATAAAGAAATAACTCAGCTAGTTTGACGATCCAAATAAAAACCAAGAGGCCTCAGAGATGATAGAACGACTTTACGAAATGTTCATAAAGAAATAACTCAGCTAGTTTGACGATCCAAATAAAAACCAAGGGGCCTCAGAGATGGTAGAACGACTTTACGAAATGTTCATAAAGAAATAACTCGGCTAGTTTGAAGATTCAAATAAAAACCAAGAGGCATCAGAGATGATAGAACGACTTTACGAAATGTTTATAAAGAAATAACTCGGCTAGTTTGACGATCCAAATAAAAACCAAGAGGCCTCAGAGATGATAGAACGACTTTACAAAATGTTTATAAAGAAATAACTCAGCTAGTTTGACGATCCAAATAAAAACCAAGAGGCCTCAGAGATGATAGAACGACTTTACGAAATGTTCATAAAGAAATAACTAAGCTAGTTTGATGATCCAAATAAAAACCAAGAGGCCTCAGAGATGATAGAACGACTTTACGAAATGTTCATAAAGAAATAACTCCGCTAGTTTGATGATCCAAATAAAAACCAAGAGGCCTCAGAGATGATAGAACGACTTTACGAAATGTGTATAAAGAAATAACTCAGCTAGTTTGAAGATTCAAATAAAAACCAAGAGGCCTCAGAGATGATAGAACGACTTTACGAAATGTTCATAAAGATATAACTCAGCTAGTTTGAGGATCCAGGCAATTTGAACTTTGTACAGAAACTGCTGTATATCTAAAAACTTCATTTTCTGAAGAACTGAGTTTTCTTTAGAAATATTGTGGAACTTCAAATGTCCACAATAATAATAGTTTTGAAAATTGTTCAAAATTAAATAGTGAAGAGAAGATAGTGAGGTAGGTTTGTACAATTTTAGTGTTTACACCAATGCTTTACAGTGCAAAAAACATTTTTTATAAAATTCTTCTAAAGTGCACTATTGTATAGAAAGGCATTATTAGAAAGATATGTGCCATTTTGAAAAAAGTCCTTGCTAATAAATCCTACACTGTTAATAATAATTTCAGCGTATTCATAGATCATTGATCGGATTATTGATTCATGCTATCACTAGTTTATTTCACAATTTCTAATGGTAATATCAAGTATACTCATTTTATATTGTATTATAACATTACTCATTACTTTCAACGAGTGATAATGCTTGTGATCATTTTCATTTTATTTTAATTACGACCATTAGGTTGAAAAAATTTGCTATCGCTTGAACATTTTATAACTCTAAGTACACAGTTTGGAAATGAGTATTGTCCATTCCTTATCTTTGAAGAATGGAAATAAATAATTTTCCACTTCCTCCAAGTAGGACTATGTATACTTATAGACTATATTTATAATTTTAAGTCGCAAGGTATTTCTTGCCTTACTGTGATAATGTACAGATTCGATACCGAAAAGAATTTATACTACCTGTATATTTTGTATTAATCAGTAATGTAAATTGTAAATTTTTTATAATAAAATATCTGTATTCCGATTTGAGTTTTTTCTTCCATACCTGGTGGTGGAAAATATAATCTCTCAATACACTCAGTGACATTAGATGTGTTACACCAAGAAAAAAAAAATCTAAAACTTGATTTTTTGGCAATGAGGTAGTCTTACGTCTCGTCTCACGAAATTTTATTCACAAGTAATAAGAAAAAAAATTAATACTGTTTTGGGCGACCCATCAGCTGAATACACTCCTGTATATGTCTAGGCATCGACAAAATGTATGATCGATGTCTGGTTGTGGCACCTCATTCCAAGCAGAAACTGCTTTCTTCACAAAAACTAAGAGATAACATTTTAACAAAGATAAACAGAAATAAAGATAAAACGTTGACATTGTTGTCTCAGCATGCTTTGAATATAGCCATTGTCCTAAATAGAGGAAATAAAATACAGTACACACTTGTGATTTTTACTCAATTTGAGATATCTTAAAAGTGGTTATTACTTTCTATATGAAACGTGTTTGAAATCTTACGTAGGATCCAAGAACTGAATGATATAGGGTGTTTCATTTTGAATAAGCAATTTCGTATTTGTCAACCATAGAATCCACCATATTGTTTATGCTACTTGGAAATACCCAGTCAAGTTTTACCATAACCCTAAATTTTTGTAAATGTTTAACGCCTCCTTTCGTGAGACATCCTGTATAGACATATCCTCATTAGTGTGTTTCTCGCAAAGTTTTCAGTCAGACCATTGATTTTCCATAAATCAAATAACGTTTCCAATGACGAATTCGTCTTTTCAGATAAAAAATTCCTTGCGCCTGAAAAAAATGTGGGATCCGTATTTTTGAACCCACCCCCGTAAAAAATTCTAATATAGCGTCCATAAAAAAACAAAAGATTTTGCAATGTGCAATTTATTTTCAGATCCCACTACAAGTAAAAAAATAGAAACAATTTCGGGAAAATTCGATTTTTACTAGTACTTGAATTTCGAAAATTTCTAAGCGACATTTTGTTAATTACCTTAACACGAACTTTGTCCCCATTTCGTATCTTCTACCGTTTCCGAGATCCCAAAAGTGAGCGTCGAATTTGAAACCCCCGGTATATTCGCATACGAAACATCCAGCACACGTTCATACGGGAGAGTTTTAATCATTTTAAGCATATTTCCCACAAGAGTGATGCGTGCAGATGGCCGTATGTCATGCAAATCGCACAACCTCGAGCGCTCTCGAGCACCAAAGGACCGATAATTACGGTATTCAATGAAGCAGAAACTCTGCACAAAAGCATACATCTGGAACTGACCTAGGGCAGGTGGTTGACCTGCGTGGTCCCAACAATGTATACGGTGGGGTGGTAAACATCCCCTCGCTCGGCAAACTCGACAGAATGGGGTTAACAGAAAAATAACACCGAGGCGCCTGCCCGTCCAGGGCATCAGAGGCGTACGTAAAGTCATATTGAAGAAGGTAGCATGGAATAGAGACGTAATGGTCTGGTTTCAACAGAATTGTTGGCGCTTTTGTCAATCAGTTGTCACTGTAATATAATAATAATAAACGGCGTTATTTATAACGATACAGTGTATATATATATATATATGATTCATAGATATTGTCGATAATAACTAATTAAATGAAAGAGTTGTCTTTCGGGATATCGACAAATTAAGCAAAGTGTACCCGTCTGTCTTACAAATACTCAAGCTTTCGATAGACTATGCTGTCATCTTCAGGAGCTAAAAAATAAAATTGAAAATAGTAATTAGCAAACCATGCTCAATTGATTAGCATTTAATTACTTACTTCGTTAATGAGATTGGTGCTAGTGTTAGATGTATAAAACTGTATTTGGGATCACATAGCTACATGATAAAAAACTGGATTTACGCGGATCCTTTTTTAACAACGGCGGAGAACATAATCATGTTAATGATGGAATACGTATGGATTTGAACGAAAAATCTTGATGGAATAAAATTTCTCTCTTTGTCTATAATATCCGGAAGTGAAACTAAGTGTCAATTAGAGCGTACATATTATTATTCGTGAGTGGATTATTTATTGAAAAAAGGCACGTATACCGACTAAAACTATACCTAACTGTGAAGGAACTAGTTACCTTATACCAAGTTTGGACAGATTCGCTAAAAATGCAAGCAAAACACAAGAAGTATTTGAGCAACGTCGACGAGAGTTTGTTACGAACTTGGACAATCTGTTTGATATTGCGCATGCCGATGCCCTTCAATTGATGAAAATTAAGGCAGGATCTTCTTGGAGCGGCAGACAGTGCCAGCTGGGGTGGTCATAAAAGGAGGAAAGTGCAAGAAAATTCATCTTCAGATTCCGAGATTTATAAGAAACTTTACCGATGCCAACTCAGCCTGATACTAATCAAACTCAAATGAGGATACACCGTGCGATTATTTTTCTGAGCGCCTGTACGTCATATCGACCTCAGATACACGTAATATCCACGTCATGCAGACGTCAAATCGTCTTTGATTTGGTCTTTTATATGACATACTATGACGTCATATAATGATGTCAATTGGGTGTGACATCAGACCCTCATAATGACGTCATTTCAAAATAATTTTTTTTGGCCGGCCTACGTAAGTATTTTGAAATGTACTTTACAGTTGTTGAATGACGAAAAAGCCAGTTAGGCCGCTAGTGCATTAGTAGATCTGTAGTTGATTGATTAGCGATTCTAGGAGTTGTCAGACTCAAAATATTTACATTGTGCAGCATATTTTAAATGATGTATTAGAATGAATAAATAATATGCAGCAATTGTAAGCTATTGTTAATTACACGTCAGTATCGTAGAAGGAATAGCGATAATATGGCGCCCTACCATATTTATAATTGCAATCATTCCATTCATCGGTACTACCTTGAAATGCGTTAAAATTAATCCGTGGCCATTTAACAAAAGAAACTCTCGTCTCTATCATTGTAATTAACTTCTGCCAGTAATGAGACCGGAACACAAAAAATCCAATATTTCAAAGGTTTCGAAAGTTGAAAAACGAAGAATAACAAAAATTGTTTATTTACATTTTCAAAAAAATTCTGAGCACGCCAAGAAAAAACAGAAACATGCAATTTGTGGATTTGTAGAACTTTTTCACTCTACCACCACTTTACCGACTTTTAGAAATTACGCAAATTTTCCGTCATTGTTTCAAGATTTCATCAAAAATAGAGGTTTGATGAAAAACAGAAGTTTGACGAGTCCTATATGGCACAGGTATTATTTTAATAGCCTATAAAACGTAAAAAAAACATCTTGCAGACTATGTAGTTTTTAGGGTGCATTCCACTAGGATCGTTGTCCATCTATGGAGGAATGGCTCAACTACACCGCTACACGCATTGTTGGTTGCATACGTTTTGTGAAGTCGAGTAGTCTGCAGTTTTCATCTCTGAGAAAAAAGTTGGTTGAATACCAAGATCGCATCTCGATGATTGTGTGTATTGGTCTGATTTGCTGTGTTAAGAAAATCTCGAGGAAGGCAGATATAAATACCCTAGAAGTGTGGGAAAGAAAGGTATTAAGGAAAATTTTTGGAGGGAAACAGAACAATGGGGTAAGGGAAAGAAGAACAAAACAAGGCCTTGCAGATATGTATAAAGAATCAAGTATCACAGGATATATAAGAGCACAAAAGTTGAAATGGTTAGGGCATGTAGAAAGGATGGCAGAAATAGGATTCCAAAAAGGACTGTTGGCAGAAGCATAGGAGGCAAGAAGAGGAGAGGGAGACCGAAGGAAAGATGGAAGAGCGAAGTAGAAGCTGATCTGAGAAGCTTAGGTGTACAAAATTGAAAACGCATGTGTCAAAATAAGAAGAAATGGAAAGAAACTACAAATAAAGCCTTGGGCCTTTCAGGAATGTAGAGCTATGCATATATATATATATATATATATATACTTATATGTATATATATACAGGATGTCCGCAAAGTTGGGGTTTTCCTTTACACGACGTGTAGATGTTGAAAACATAAGCAATTTTCCTTAGTACCATATACACCAATGTCTTAAGGGAACCGAGATGAAGGGCTCTGCAACATCAAAAATATCTGAATACCGTCCTGTAGCCGCGACCCGCGACATCACCGAGTGGTACAAGGTCACTGGCTCAACCCGACGACAGAACTGGGTCGGGGTCAGTGTGTCAGGTCAGTATGCAACCTTCAACCGACGGTTACGGTCACGCGTGTAGAGGTAAACGAACCCGTATAATCGATTGCGTGTCAAAAAAAAAATAATAATGGCACACTCATACACCAATAATGAACTCGTTGATATGTTGTTAATTTATGGCGAATCGTTTCCCTAGACGACATCATCCAAGGCCCCGCAGATTCGTGTACCTGGTACAGAGAGTCAGGGATACGGGCCATTGGAGGAATTTCGAGGTGGGCACAGTGGGAGACCTAGACAACCACGAATGGTGCAAGTTGAGGAAGAACTACTGAATAACTTCGAACAATACCTATAAAGTACGTTTACCTAAAAACTGAAAACGCGGCAACGCCGTCATATTTGTTACCTCTGTTCGTGGTCTGCACCACCGCCTGCGTCAGCTTGGTAGCGCATCAGCTGATTTCATTTTCTGTTGGAGCGGTATGATTTCGGGCAGAGACGTACTTAGCCCTTCTCGTCAACTGGAGAGTGAGTACTTTTTCCTTTATTTTTTTTACTTGGACGCCCTCGTTTCACTACACATTACCTTTGTTATTTCAAGGGTAGTTGTTTCTGAAAAGGAAAACCCCAACTTTGCGGACACCCTGTATATATAAGAAAATCATTCCTGAATATGCTGCCAATGAAGCATATTGTAAAAAACCCTACATAATGCCACAAAAAACCAATACAATGCCAAAAAAAATCGACATAATGTCATTGTTCAAAATACGTAATACCCGTACGGACCAGAAACTTGTGACAAGCTCAGGGCT